TATATAATATATATTTATGTACATATAATATATATATTATATATAAAAATTTTTAATATATATATAAAACTTAAAAAATATTTATTAAATTGAAATTTTAAATAAGTAAAAAGTGGGGTTTAGGCAGGGACAGTGCCCTGCAGGCTCGGTGCCTTTGGGGCAGGGTGACCCTGGGAGCTGAACACAGCCACCAAGCTCTCTCCCACTTTGGAAATCCATGGATTTGGCTGCTGCCAAAGCCTCTGTTGGAACTGATGATGTTTAGGGTTTCTCCCAGCCCCGGCTGTGCGGTCAGTGCCGGCTCTCAGTGCCAGCTCTCAGTGCCAGCTCTCAGTGCCAGCTCTGTGCCGGCTCTCAGTGCCAGCTCTCAGTGCCAGCGCTGTGCCGGCTCTCAGTGCCAGCTCTGTGCCGGCTCTCAGTGCCAGCTCTCAGTGCCAGCTCTGTGCCGGCTCTCAGTGCCAGCTCTCAGTGCCAGCGCTGTGCCGGCCCTCAGCGGGCTCTCTCCCTTCCCTTCCCTTCCCTTCCAGGCTGAGCTCGGGCGCGGAGCCCTCGCTGAGCGCGGCCCAGCCCGGCCTCCCCGGCAGCGGCAGCGGCTCCGCCCCCAGCGCCTTCCACGCCCTGCAGAGCCGGCTGGTGGCCAGCGGAGGGCACGGCCTGCCCGCCCCGCCCGCCGCGCTGCCCGGTACGGGAGAGGGGCTCAGCGGGGCTGGGGAGCCTCGGGGGGCTTGGGAACGGGTCTGTACCCAAAGGGGAGGGGGTTTGGGGAAGGGTCTGTCCCCAAAGGGGAGGGGGTTTGGGAAGGGGTCTGTACCCAAAGGGGAGGGGGTTTGGGAAGGGGTCTGTCCCCAAAGGGGAGGGGGTTTGGGGAAGGGTCTGTCCCCAAAGGGGAGGGGGTTTGGGAAGGGGTCTGTACCCAAAGGGGAGGGGGTTTGGGAAGGGGTCTGTCCCCAGAGGGTGCTGGGCACCGCCCAGGGAATGGGCACAGCCCTGAGGCTGCCAGAGCTCCAGGAGCCTTTGGATTTTGGGGTGTCTGTGCAGGGTCCCAGGGATGCCCAGGGTGGATTTTGGGGTGTCTCTGCAGGCTCTCAGGGTGGATTTTGGAGTGCCTGTGCAGGCCCCCAGAGCTGGGTTGGATGATCCCAGTGGGTCCCTTCCCACTCAGGACATTCCCTGATCCCATAACCGAGCTGTGGGAAGACCCCCAGTGCCCTCAGGTTGAAGAGCAGCTCTGCAGCCCCAGCACAGCCCCGGAATTCGGTGCTGGTGCCCCCTCCCAGGCTGACCCTGTCCTTCCCTGGGTTTTCAGGAGCAGCCTCTGCCAGCAGCCTGCTCCAGGGGCTGAGCTTCAGCCTGCAGGACATGGGCACCAAGGCCTCCAGCCTGGCCCCCAGCACTGCCACCGGCTCCCCTGTGCAGGTGAGGAGCCCCTGGAGAGCCCACGGGGCAGGGGAGGCTCTGGGTGGGAGACCAGGGCTGGCTCTGGGTGCTCCTGAGGGGCTCTGTGAGGAGCTGTGTGTGTGCAGGGAGGGATCAGTGGGAAAAGCCGCTCTGGGAACTCTCAGGGTCCCACTTTGAGCCACTCAGAGTGCCAGGAGGGATCAGTGATCATTCCCTTGGGAAAAGCCACACTGGGAACTCTCAGGGTCCCACTTTGAGCCACTCAAAGAGTTCCAGGCTGGGAGGGACAAATCCCCCAGGACCAGCCCTGCCTGGAGAAGTGTGGGACCCCCAAAGGTTCTGCTGGAGAGAGGAGTGGCCATGCCAGCCTGGCCTGGCTCTGCAGGAGCTCAGCTGTGCCCTGTCCTTGCAGAGCTCAGCTTAGCTCGGGCCTGAAGAGCTCAGGGCTGCTCCCTGGCCCTGCAGGAGCTCAGTTTTGTCCTCTGTTCCTGCAGGGCTCAGCACTGAAGGCCCCTGCAGAACTCAGTTTGCCCTCTGTCCCTGCAGAGCTCAGTTTGCCCTCTGTCCCTGCAGAGCTCAGCTCTCAAGGCCCCTCTCTCCCTGCAGAGCTCATTTTACCCTCTCTCCCTGCAGGGCTCAGCCCTCAAGGCCCCTGCAGCCCTGCAGAGCTCAGTTTGCCCTCTCTCCCTGCAGGGCTCAGCCCTCAAGGCCCCTGCAGCCCTGCAGAGCCTGGCTGCCCTCAGCACAGACTCCTCGGGCTCCGTGGTTCGCACCATCCCCGTGGCCGCCTCGCTGGCGCTGGGCGCCTCGGCCGGCAGCAAGCCCACGGCCATCCAGCAGCTGCTGAGCAACGGGGGGCTGGCCAAGCTGGCCAGCAGCCTGCCAGGGCTGGCCCACATCTCCAACCAGGCTGCAGGTCGGTGTCACACACGGGGGGTTGTTTACACGCACCGACGGGACGGGGCTGCTGCCGAACGCGCCTCGGGCTGGTTGATTTTCCAGCATCGCTCTCATTGTGACAATGGGAAGATGCCAGCAGCTCACATCCCAGGCAGCAGGCCAAAAAACTTCATGTTACAACTCTCTTTATAAACTTCTTGACCCATCCCACAAAGCAAAAGCACATTGACAGCATTTATATCTGTATAGTATATATTCTGTATTGACAGTGGTTCCATCCAGTCACCATAAGCACAGGTTCCTTGGGTTAAACAATGCTTGCTGATTTTGAGTACAATGCCTGCTTGTGAGCCTCAACACACAGAGCTCCATTATTAAGCTTTAACCTTCCTAATATCTCACTACATAAAGTTTTGTAGCTTAGAGAGCTATTCAGACAAGCATTAATACACAGATCATTATTCTATTTGTGCTTTTCTACAGTTTAAATAATTTTTCTGCTGACCAATGTCATGGCTGTGCTTGGCTCCAATCACAGTTCTGCTGTCTCTGAGTCTCCCTTTTGCAGCTTTCCCAAACCCCTCTGATTTTGTGGATTCCCACACGGAGGGAGGGATGGAGGTGCTGCTGGTACCTGGAGCTTTTGTCCCAAAGCTCCTCCTGCTCTGTGCTCCCCCAGAGGTCCCTCTGGGCCCTGTTTGGAGGTGGCCTCACCCTCCCTGTGTCTCAGGAACGTCTCTGTGTGCTCTGCAGGCCTCAAGGCGCCGGCCACCATCACGGTGACACTGCGGGGACAGCCCGGCCGCGTGGGCACCCTGGGCCAGGCAGGGCTGGCCACGGCCCAGCCCCAGCTGGAGGAGCAGCCCCAGGGCCCTCAGGTAAGGGGGGCGCCTCTCCTTGCTCACCTGGGCAGCTCCTGGCCCTGCCAGGGATGGGGGGTGAGGAGGGGGTGACAGGAGCCAGGGCGTTGTCACTGTGTCACTGTGTCCGTTGGGGTTTGACTGCCCTTGATCCCATGGAATCCTGGGATGGTTTGGGCTCAAAGGGACCTCAAATCCCACCCAGGGTCCTTTTGGGGCTGAAAGGGACCTTAAATCTCCCACAGTGCCCTTTTGGGGATCAAAGGGACCTCAGATCCCACCCAGTGCCTTTTGGGGGTGAAAGGGACCTCAAATCCCACCCTGTGCCCTTTGGGTTTAAAGGGACCTCAAATCCCACCCGGTGCCCCTTTTGGGGATCAAAGGGACCCTAAATCCCACCCAGTGCCCTTTTTGGGTTTAAAGGGACCTCAAATCCCACCCAGGGCCCTTCTTGGGTTTCAAGGTGTCCTGGGTGTCTGGGTGCCCTGGCAGTGGAGCTGTGCCAGTCTGGGTGCTGGATCTGGGGCTCTGGGTGCCCTGGGAATGGAGCTGTGCCAGTTTGGGATCCTGGGGCTCTGGGTGCTCTGGGAATGGAGCTGTGCCAGTTTGGGATCCTGGGGCTCTGGGTGCCCTGGGAATGGAGCTGTGCCAGTTTGGGTGCTGGATTTGGGTGCCCTGGGAATGGAGCTGTGCCAGTTTGGGATCCTGGGGCTCTGGGTGCCCTGGGAATGGAGCTGTGCCAGTTTGGGTGCTGGATTTGGGTGCCCTGGGAATGGAGCTGTGCCAGTTTGGGATCCTGGGGCTCTGGGTGCCCTGGGAATGGAGCTGTGCCAGTCTGGGTGCTGGATTTGGGTGCCCTGGGAATGGAGCTGTGCCAGTCTGGGTGCTGGATTTGGGTGCCCTGGGAATGGAGCTGTGCCAGTCTGGGTGCTGGATTTGGGTGCCCTGGCAGTGGAGCAGCCCCATTTTGGGCATTGTGGTTGCCCTGCCTGGGCTGTGCCAGTGCTGGGGGCTGAGCCAGGCTCAGGGTGGGGGCTCTGCAGCCCAGGGTGTCCCCAGGATGTCCCCATGGCACTGACCCTGTCCCCTTGTCCACAGTGAGCACCACGGAGCCCCTGTGCTGTGGGAGCCCGGCTGTGGCACTGCCCAGGCTGCCCTGTGCCAGCCTGGCACCTCCAGGACACTCTGGGGACACTTTGGGACACTTTGTGGGGCCGGCCAGCAGCAGCCGCGCTGTCCTGGGGGCTGTGGGGACCCCCAGAATCCCTGGAGGGTGGGAATGGGGGGATGTTTTTCTAGATTTGTTGCTGTTTAATTAAAAAATTCCTTTTTTAAATTTTTTTTTTTTTAATTTTGTTGTGCTTTGGGACTGAGGTGGTTTTTGTTGGGGGTGGATTTTGTGAGTGCTGAAGGATGTAGGGACAGAGCAGGGAAGGATCCATGGAAGGATCCACACTGGGGCAGCTCCCTGAAATAATCAGAGAATCCTGGAATCTCCTGGGATCATCAATCCAGCCCCTGGCCCTGCACAGACACCCCAAAATCTGAGCTTGGCCAGCCTTGGCTTGGTCTGGAATGGCTCGGGTGGAGCTGCTGGGGGCAAAAAGGACCTGGAGGCAAAAGTCACCTGGAGGGAAAAAGGACCTGGAGGCAGAAAGGATTCTGGAGAGGCAAAAATGGACCTGGAGGCAAACAGGACCTGAAGCAAAAAGGACGTGGGAGGCACAAAGGACCTGGAAGCAAAAAGGACCTGAAGACAAAAAGGACCCAGAGGCAAAAATCACCTGGGGGTAAAAAAGGACCCCGAGGCAAAAAGGACCCAGAGGCAGAAAGGATTCTGGAGAGGCAAAAAAGGGACCTGGAGGCAAAAAGGACCCAAAGCAAAAAGGACTTGGGAGGCACAAAGGACCTGGAGGGAAAAAAGGGACCTGGAGGCACAAAGGACCCGGAGCTGTTGCTGGGTTGTTCCCAGCTGGACTCGTGGCTGCTCCATGGAATTGCTGCCATTCCCCCAAAGCTGAGGTGGGCAAGCTGCTCCTTCCCTGCCCACAGAGGAGTTCTCAGCCCCACAGCTCTGGGCTCAGGGAGAGGATCCCCCCCAGCCCTGCCCAGGACACCCCAAACTCTGCCGGGCACGTTTGTTCCCTTTGCACCCCTGGCGGAGTGACCCAAACCCGGCTGTGGGGGCCAGGGATGGGAACAGACACCTCCAGCACCGCTTTTGCTCCCTTTTTTATAGATTTGTGTGTGGATATATAGAAAACAGAGAGAACCGTGGGGCGCCCCCAGCTCTGAGCTGGGCAATGAGAACGGCCCGGCCCGGATTATCCCCTCGCTGTCCCCTGGCTGTCCCCGGCACAGCGCTAGGGCCGGCCGTGGTGCGGGAAGGCCGGGACGTGTGGGGAGCGCTGCCCGTGCCACGGAGCCGCCGCGTAGAGCCGGGCCGAGCTGCCGTAGGCCGCGGGCAGGCGGGCACCGGGCAGCGGGCGGCACAGCTCGGAGGGCACCACCAGAGGGCTGGGGAAGGCCGGGATCACCACGGGGCCCACGGACAGCGCCGGGGCCGCGGGCACGCCCTGCGCGCTCCCGAAGCCGCCCGGGAAGCGCAGCGCGGCTCCCGTGAAAGCGTCCGGCGGCGGAGGCGGCGCGGGGAACGCCGGGGCGGCCGCCACGGCCTTGGGCTTGGCCAGCGCTCGGGGAGCGCCCGGCGAGCGGCTCCGCCCGGCCCTGCCCGAGGGGGACACGGCGCGGCCCAAGGGCTCCTCGTCCTCCTCTTCATCCTCATCATCGTCATCATCTCCCTCCTCCTCCTCCTCCTCGCGGCCGGCCCGGGGCGCGGCGGGCCCGAGGGCGGCCCCGGGGGGAACCCAGCAGGCCTGGACGGCGGCGGCCCGGCCCTGCCACGGCCGCAGCTCCGCGGGCTGCTCGGGCTCCTCGGGCCGCGCCGGGAGGGCGGAGGGCGGCTCCAGAAAATCCTTCAGGCGGGAGAAGTAGCCCCAGAGCGGGGCGCAGCCGCCGGGCTGCGGGCCCTCGCTGCGGTACGCGTGGAAGTAGCCGGTGAACACGGCGGGGGCCGCGTCCTGCGGGCAGCCCTGGCTGTCCCTGCCCGCCGGGGATGCGCTGCGGGCCGGGCCCGCCTCGCTCGGAGCTCGCTCCGGAGCTGCCCAGGGCTCCGCGCTCCTCTGCTCGGCCGGCGCGGGCCCGGGGGGCTCGGGGCCGCTGTCGCTCGGTGCCCGGCGGCCCTCGGGACAGTGGCGCTTGGGGCAGGGCAAGGACTCGGCCTTGCTCACCTGCGCCAGCAGCTTCTTCTTGGCCAGCGGGGACATGATGGGGTGGTTCCCTTTGGAGTAGAAGCTGGAGAAGAGGCGCTCGTAGGTCTCGCTGTGGCTCCTGCAGGGGCTGGGGCACCTCCCCGAGGGGCTGGGGGCCGGCACGGCCGGGATGGCCGGGCTGGAGCGTCCGTCTGTGCCCCGGCCCCGCTCCGCGTCCGTCTGTCCCTCCGGCCGCGCCTTGTCCGGAGCCACCTGCGAGGAGCGGAGGGGTCGGGCCGTGGGTGCCGCACCCCGGGCCGGGCTCTGGGCTCCCAGCCCCGCTCTCATTGCCCGGCCCGGCCCTCCCTGCCCTGTCCTGCCCGGCCCCGGGCGGGTTCCGCACCTGCTCGCGGCCCTTCTCCTTCCTGGCCCTCTTGCTCTTGTCGTCCTTGGAGACCTTGTACTGGCGCCGGGGTTTGCTGGGGGGCAGCGGTTTGTCCTCCTCGCCCTTGAGGTGCCGCACGTAGGGAAGGACGAGCCTGCGGAGCGAGCGGGGAGCGCGGTGAGCGCCGCGCCGGGGGAAACTGAGGCAGGACAGAGCCCCGGCCCCGGCCCGGCCCCACCTCTCGTAGTGGCGGCGGGTGCAGGTGGCAGCGCTGGTGCTGCCGGGGCTGCCCCCGAGCTCGTCGTAGACGTTCTTCCAAAGCCGGCGGCCCGTCACCTGCGGCGGGAGGGACGGACAGACGGACAGAGTGAGCCCGGGAATCCTGGGGGGCATCCTGGCACCCAGGGGACACGTCCTGGTGCCCAAGGGACATCCTGGCACCCAGGGGACACTCGGGTGCCCAAGGGACATCTTGACACCCAGGGGACACGTCCTGGTGCCCAAGGGACACTCGGATGCCCAAGGGACACCCTGGTGCCCCCCGGCTCCACGGCCACCACTCACCAGCTCGTAGGCTCCCAGCTTTTCCACGGCCTTGTAGATCTTCCAGAGGTTAACTGGGAATCAATCAAGGGGAGAATCAATCAAGGGGAGATGCTGAGGGTCAGGAGGACGCGGGACCCGAGCACGGCCACCCCCTGTCCCTGTCCCTGTCCCCAGGTAGGGGGGCCATACTCTGCTTGAAGCCGAGGTGCGGGATCCTCTCGATGGGCGTGTGCCGCTCCTTCATGAACTTGTAGAGGCTGACGAGGAAAGCCTCCTCCTCCTCCTTCTCCTTGTCCTCGTCCTTCTCCTCCTTGTCCTTGTCCCCACCTTCTCCCACCGCTCTGTCCCTCTCGGCGCCATCCCCGGCCCCCGGCGCGTCCTGCGGGACACGGGGCTGAGATTTGGGGGAGCCGCGGCCCCGTTGCCCCCGCAGCCGGGAGAGCTCCGGGCCCGTTCCCCGCCGCTCCAGACCCGTTCCTCGCATCCCAAGGAGCTCCGGACCCGTTCCCCGGTACCGTTTGGGGAGCTCGGGACCCGTTCCCCGCATCCCGAGAAGCTCGGGGCCGTCTCCTGGGGAGCCCCGTTCCCGTTCCCCGGTGCTGTTTGGGCAGCCCCGTTCCCGTTCCCCGGCAGCCCCGGGCGGGCCCGCGGCCAAGTTGGTCAAAGCGCTGGATGCGGGTGCGAACACGAGGAGCGGCTTCCAGGAAAACAGACGGGCAGAAATTCCGAAATTCGGCCCCCCCCGCGCCGCCGCCGCCGCCTTTCTCAGCTAAAAATGTTCCTCGTTTGTTTGTTCTACATTTTCCGGAGTTATAAAACTTGTTGCTATTTTTGGGCAAAGAAGCTGCTCGGCTCCCAAGTCCGTCCTTTTCTATTTTTTTTCAGTCTTTTTTTTTTTTCTTTTTTTTTTCTTTTTTTTGTTCTTTCTATTCATTTCACGGCTTGTGACAGACACCGGATTTTAACGGCTCAAAGAGTTCAAAGCTTTCTTTTTTTTTCTTTTCTTTTTTTTTTCTTTTCTTTTTTGGGTTTGGTTTTTTTTTTTTTGTGTGTGTGTGTGACATAAAAAGCTGCTGGGGGGAGGGAAAAGCTCCAGCGCCACAAAATCCAAACCCCTTTTCCTCAGGAGGATAAAAAATATTTACAAAAACGATCCCGTTCCTATGGGACCGATCATTTCTCCCCCCCCATTTTTGGGTGCATTGCCCCCCTCGCCCCCCACCCAAAGCCGGGAATTTCCCATTTCTCTGCCCCGTCCTCACTTCCACCGGCGGCCAAAGCGCTGCTCGCCCTCCTCCCGCCCTCCCCCGAATTTTGGGGCGTTCAGCACCCCCAAAACCCGCGGGGCGCACTCACGGCGGGCTGGGCGGGACTGGGGGGGTCCCGGGGGTCTCCTTGCGCCTCTTGGTTCTTCTCCATGGGGGGAAATCGCTGCCCGTGGGTTCGGGACGGGACCTGGAGGGGAAAACAGGGGAGGGTGAGACCCCAGATTGCTGCTGCTCCCCTAAAATGACGGGGCAGTCGGGAGCATTTGGAGCGGCCCCTCGGGCACCGGAACCGGCCCGAGGCTGCTCCGGTTCCCCCCTGCGTGCCTCCCCCTGCGCCCCCGTTCCGGGCTCGCCGCCCCCAAATCCCCCCCGTGTTTTTGAGGAAAAACGCCGGGAAAACGGCGAATAAGCGGCGATGCCAACCTGGGGAGGGAGCGGGGCGGGTCCCGAGGGGGGTCCCGGTGCCCCCCGGTCCCACCCGAGCCCCTCCGGTGCCCCCGGTCCCGCTCGCGCTCACCGGCCGCGCCCGCGCCACGTGACCGAGGGGCGGGGCCGCCGCGCCCCCTTCGCTGCCCATTGGCCGGAGCCAACACGCCCCTTCTCCTATTGGTCGGCAGCGCTGCCTGTCCCCGCCCCCCGCGAGGGGCACGCCGGGAGCTGTAGTCCTGAGGCGGCAGCGCGGCACGGCTGTGGGTGAGCGCACCTGGGCACAGGTGAGTGCGGGGCGAGTCTGTGCGAGAGTGCGGGGCACGCGCGGGTGCCCAGGTGTGTTCACACGGGCACAGAGGTGCCAGGTGTGTGCAGGTGGGCACGGCCAGGGGCGTGTGCCCGTGTGTGAGTGTGTGTGTGCAGGTACAGGTGTGCAGCGGGTGTAGGTGCCACACACACCTGTGTGTGCAGGTACACGTGTTACGCGCACACAGGGGTTTATCAGTTACAGGTGTCCCACACACACACACCTACACCCCCCTGTGTGTGCAGTTACCGGTGTCACACCCCCCAGGTGTTTATCAGGTACCGGTGTCACACACACATATCTGTGTTTATCGGGTGCCGGTGTCTCCCCCGTGTCCCGCCCCCGCCGCCCCGGTTCGGTTCCCGGCACCGCTGACGCGATTTCCTCGTTTCCCGGCGCCGCTCCGAGCGCAGGAAACCGCGGCGGCTTTTGGGGCAAAACGCGGCCGGTTCGGGGCTGAGCGAGCCCCGCCGGTGCCAACAACCCCCGTAACCCCCGAGCCGCCGGTACCGGGCTGGGGGCGGCACCGGGCTCTAATTACACCCTTAATGAGATAACACCAATCATTATCACAGCACTCATCCCGGGCGCTTCGGCGGCGGCGCTTCCCGAACTCCTCCCGGATCCCGCCGCGCTCCTCATTCCCGGGGCCGCTCCTCCCCGGATCACCCAAACCCCGCCGGTTTAGGCCCAAAGCGGCGGGGCTGGAGCGTCACGGCCCGGAATAGCGCGGGAGCGCTGCCAGGCCGTGACGGCGGCTGAGTAATGGGCTGAAGTCATCCCCGCTCCCCTCCCTTCCCCATCCCGCGCCGCCGCTCCGGCCGAACCCCCCCCGCCATCCCGGGGGGCTGCGCAGGGCCCGGGGACCCCCGGGGGCGGCCGCGGCTCGGGGACCCCCCCGCGCTCGGGGCTCCCGGTGCGTTGTTCGGCGTCCCGGGGGTCCGGCCGGTCCCGCTCGTTGTTCGGTGTCCCGGGGGACGCGCGGCTCGGGGCGACGCCCGGGACCCCCCCAGCCCCCCGCGACCCCCGGACTCACCGGCGGAGGCTCGGGCGATGCTCCGGGGCGGCCGGAGCGGAGCGCGGGTGTCGCGGAGCGGGACCGAGCCCGGGATGAGTCAGCCCCGCTCGGGGAAGTGGCGTGTGCGAGCCGCGGCCATTGACTCTTTCCTTACCGGAACGGACGCGCTTTTGGGGCTTCTCCCCCCGCGCCCCGAATGACTGGGCCGGAGTTTCCCGGCCCCGGAGCGCGGAGGAGCCGCCCCGAGGGCGGGGACAGGGCGGGACGCGCCGGGATCGCGGCCCCGCTCCCTTCCCGAGGGTCCCCGGCGTTCCCGGGATGATGCCCCTGTCCCTTGTCCCGGGATCGCCAATCCCCGTCCCAATCCTGACAAACCGGGCTCAGCCCCCCGAGAATCCCCCCCCGCTTCGGGAGTCCCGAAAAATGAGAGAAAAAGAAGAAAAATCCCCCGGTGACTCATTTTGGGCCAAAAAGCCGCGAAAGCAGCAGCGGGGGAAGGCGGGAGCGGCTCCATCCCGGGTGGGGAGGGGGTGAAGGAGCCCCCGGACCCCCCCTAACCCGCGATAAACCCGGGGGATGGGTGAAAAACCCGAGAATGGGGGAAACAAACCAGCGAAAAGCCCCGCTCGGGGTTTTATTCCCGGTCTTGTCCGGGTTGGGATGCCCGGAGCTGCGGGAAGGGAAGGGAAGGGAAGGGGGCCCTGCCTCAGTTTCCCCTCGCTCCCGGTCCAGCCTTCCGACTTCTGTCGGCGCTGGGATGGAAGGGATTCCAGGGATAAATAAAGGGTTTTAAGGAAGAGCTCGGGGTTCAGGAATAAACGGGATTTTTAGGAACAGATCGGGTTTCAGGGATAAATAAAGGGATTTTAGGAACAGGTTTCAGGAATAATCGGGATTTTTAGGAACGGCTCGGGTTTCAGGGATATATAAAGGGATTTTAGGAACAGGTCTCAGGAATAATCGGGATTTTTAGGAACGGCTTCGGGTTTCAGGAATAAATAAACGGGATTTTAGGAACAGATCGGGTTTCAGTGTCCCGGGGGCAGCTGAGCCCCCCTGGAGCACAAATCCCTGGAATATCAACCCCTGGAAGAGCAATTCCTGGAGCATCAATTCCTGGAAAATCATCCCCCGGAGCAGCAGCAGCCTCTGGAATTCCCATCCCTGGAGAAATCCCGGGAAGGGCGAGGGGGGTCGGGAATTGCGGCTCCGGGTGTTCCCGAGGGAGCTCCACCCCCAGGAAAAGCAGGAACGGAATTCCCGGGGTCCCAGCAGGAGGAGATCCCAGAACTGATCCCATTCCCACAATTCGGCTCCTGGATCCCGTTCCCAGCTGCTGCTCCAGGCTCTGATCCCTGCATTCCCATTTTTTCAGGGATTTGTCCCCGTTTGCAGCCCCCACCCCACTCCGGGGTTGTTCCTTCCAGGCCCCTCTCCAAAGTGTGCAAAATTTATTATCCTTGAAAACAGTAAAAAAAAGGGAATAATCCCAGAATGGAGGAATGGGGGCCAGGAGTAACAGTCCAAAAACTGGGAATTACAGACTGGGAAGGACACAGGGACAGACAGACAGAATTTTGGGACAAACAGACAGGAAATTTTGGGATACGGAGAGGAAATTTTGGGACACGCAGAGGAAATGTTGGGACACGGAGCAGCCTGGGTTCACAGTGAAGTGCAGGAATTTCCAATCCCAGGGAAAAGCTGCTGGATCCTGGTGGGACCTGTCCAGCCAGGACATCCCTGAATCCCAACCTTGCCAGGGGTTTGGGATTCTGGGATTTCTCAGCATTCCCTGCTGGATCTGCGGCGGCTCCAGGGTCAGTCCCCCCCTCTCACCAGGATATCCGACAGCCCCTCGGTGCTCTCCAGCTTCAGGTTCTGGGAAGGAAAAGCTTTGGAATGAAATCCCCTGGGATGAGGCTTGGGAACAACCCCAGCCCCTCCTGCCCTGCCCTGCCCAGGGGCTTTTCCAGGGAATGGGGACAGAGCAGGAATTCCCTCATGGGTTGGAGTCTCCATCCCTGCAGGAATTCCTGGCTGTGGAAGGAATCCCGGTGGGGATTGGGCACGTTGTGACCTTGGAGAGCTTTTCCAGCCTCAGGAAATCTGGGATTTTTGGATTCTGTTCCATTATCCAGAGTCCAGAATGCTCGGGATGGCTCTGAGGGACAAACCCTGCACGAGCTGGGAACATTCCCATTCCCCGGCAAAACTGGGAATGAGCTGCATTCCATGGAAAACCTGGGGTGGGTGGGACAAGCTGCATTCCATGGAAAACCCGGGATGGATGGGACAAACTGCATTCCATGGAAAACCCGGGATGGGTGGGACAAGCTGCATTCCCTGGAAAACCTGGGATGGGTGGGACAAACTGCATTCCATGGAAAACCCGGGATGGATGGGACAAACTGCATTCCCTGGAATCCCCGGGGTGGGTGGGACAAGCTGCATTCCCTGGAATCCCCGGGGTGGGTGGGAATCTCTCCCTGCCCTCACCTTCTCGTTGGCCAGGTGCAGCAGGGACACGAAGGCCAAGGGCACCGACAGCTCCGTGGCCATGGTGGGAGGGAGCCTGCGGAAAAGCAGGATCGGGATCAGAGCCTGGAATGCCAGAGCAGAGCAGGGACTGGGCCCTTCCCTGGAACACCCTCAGGGGTTTGCCCTGTCCTGCTCCCAGCCCCATCCACATTTGGGATTTTTCCTGTCCCATTCCCATCCCAACATCCAGAGGGATTTTCCCTGTCCCATTCCCATTCCCATGAAGGATTTTCCCACTCCCATTCCCATGTGGGATTTTCCCATTCCCATTGCCATTATTCCCATCCCCATTCAGGATTGTCCCATTCCCATTGCCATTATTCCATTCCCATTTGGGATTTTCTCTGTCCCATTCCCATTATTCCCATCCTGGATTTTCCTATTCTCATTCCCATTATTCCCATTCCCATTTGGGATTTTCCCTCTCCCATTCCCATTCAGGATTTTCCTATTCTCATTCCTATTATTCCCATTCCCATTTGGGATTTTCCTTGTCCCATTCCCATTTGGGATTTTCCTATTCTCATTCCCATATTCCCATTCAGGATTTCCCCATTCCCATTATTCCCATTCCCATTTGGGATTTTCCCTGTCCCATTCCCATTATTCCCATGTGGGATTTTCCCATTCCCATTATTCCCATTATTCCCATGTGGGATTTTCCCATTGCCGTTATTCCCATTCCCATTTGGGATTTTCCCATTCCCATTTGGGATTTTCCCTGTCCTATTCCCATTATTCCCATGTGGGATTTTCCCATTCTTCCCGTTATTCCCATTATTCCCATGTGGGATTCTCCCATTCCCATTATTCCCATTCCCATGTGGGATTTTCCCATTCTTCCCGTTATTCCCATTCCCATTTTCCCATTATTCCCGTTATTCCCATCATTCCCGACCTGTGCCGCAGGTCCTTGATGAGGTCACTCAGGCTTTTCTCCCCGGCCACCTTCGCGTCCGTCCCTTCCCCGGCCTCCTCCTCCTGCTGGGGAAATCCAGGAATGCAGAGCCCCAGATTCCAAGGAAAACCCCTGGGAATCTCAGCCCGCGCTGGCCAATGGGAAACTTGGGGCTGATCCCATGGAATTGGGGTTTATCCCATGGAATTGGGGTTTATCCCATGGGATTTGGGTTCACACCATAGGATTGGGGTTTATCCCATGGAATTGGGGTTTATCCCATGGGATTTGGGTTCACACCATGGGATTGGGGTTTATCCCATGGGATTGGGGTTTATCCATAGAACTGGGATTTATCCCACGGGATTGGGGTTTATCCCATGGAATTGGAGTTTATCCCATAGGATTGGGGTTCACACCATGGGATTGGAGTTTATCCCATGGAATTGGGGTTCACACCATGGAATTGGGGTTTATCCCATGGAATTGGGGTTCACACCATGGGATTGGGGTTTATCCCCATGGAATTGGGGTTTATCCCATGGGATTGGAGTTTATCCCATGGGATTGGGGTTCATACCATGGAATTGGGGTTTATCCCCATGGAATTGGGGTTTATCCCATGGGATTGGAGTTTATCCCATGGGATTGGGGTTCATACCATGGAATTGGGGTTTATCCCATGGGATTGGGGTTTATCCATGGAACTGGGGCTGATCCCAGGAACTGGGAAGGAACCCCTGCAGAATTCCCAGCAGGAATTTCCCTTCCTGACCTCTCCCTGCTCCGTCAGCAGCTCCCACATGTTCCTCTTGAGCCTCCTCATGTCCATCCTCTTGGCTGTCCTGGCGTACTGGATGGGGATCTTGTGGACCTGAGGGGGAAATCTGGGATTATCTGGGATCATCATCGGGATCATCATTGGGATCACAGCCACAATGCTCAAAATTCCTGATTTTCCACGGGAATAACAGCGAGCGTGGCCTTGCTGCCAATCCCAGTGTTTAACCTGGGAATTGTTCCTCTGGGAACGCCAATCCCAGTGTTTAATCTGGGAATTGTTCCTCTGGGAATGCCAATCCCAGTGTTTAACCTGGGAATTGTTCCTCTGGGAACGCCAATCCCAGTGTTTAATCTGGGAATTGTTCCTCTGGGAATTGTTCCTCTGGGAATGCCAATCTTGGCAATCCCTGCAACCACGGGGGTTTATCCCATTGGATTGGGGTTTATCCTCATTGGATCAGGGTTTATCCCCATGGAATTGGGTTTATCCCCATGGGATTTTTAACCCTGGAGGTGCTGAGAGGTTTTTGCTCCAGCCCAGCCCAGGGAGGAATTCCCAGTCCCAGGGAGAAGCTTCCAATGCCAGGAGGAATTCCCAGCCCAGTGCTCCCAGTCCCTCCTGTCATTCCCAGTGACCTTGGGGGGCTCGGCAATCAGCTCCAGCTCCCCGCAGCCGGGGCCGTTGCCGCCGTTGATCCCGGGGTGCTCCGGAGCCTCGGGATGAGCCGGGAGCGGCCCCGCCTGGCCCAGGAATTCTGCGGGATCGGGATCGTCATCGCTGTCAGGAACCTGCCAGGGGACACAGGGGGACACCAGAGTCACCTGGGGGGAGCCAGAGGCAGCAGGAGCCGCTCCAGAGGGTGGGAATTCCTGCCCGGCTTCCCCGGGGGATTGGGGTTATCCCCACATGGAATTGGGGTTTACCCCATGGAATTGGGGTTTATCCCCATGGAATTGGATTTATTCCCTTGGGATTGGCGTTTACCCCAGGGGATTAGGTTTATCCCCA